CAACGCTCCAAGATGCATCGCCAGAGGTACTGTCTGCCGTGCCAGGTCTTGCAGAGCGAATACCGGACAAGGTCGAGGATATGGTTCCTCAAGCGTTGTCGAACTGCCTGTTGGGAGCTGCAAAGCTGCAGGATACAGTGCCGCAGGTTGTGGAAATCGTGCCAAGCACAGTACAGAGAATGAAAGCTACGATTGGCATGATGAACGAGCAGGACTTATCCAATAATTTCTGGGCAGTGGCAAAGCTCAAGGATGCATCACCGAACGTGTTGTCACTGGCAGCAGAGCTCTCGAGGAGCATCTTTCCCCAAGTCAAGAAATTGGCGACGAAGCAGCTGCGGATGTCACTTCGGGCAGCCAAGCAGTTTGGGGAGGACGAGCTTGTAGCCAGGCTGCAGGGAGAACTCGACCACCGGCAGCGCTGAGCCTGCTTAGCAAGGGATTCGCCACCTGCTGGACTGCTCGTCCATTGTTTTTGAAGATAGCGGGTGCTGGTCCTCACAGAGGCTTGAAACACTGCGACACGTTTGTCCTCAGCACGGCCGAGCGGACGATCTTGATCGGACGGAGCTTCGAACTGCTATCATACAGCCGCGAAGGTGGCAGCGGATGTATTCGCTCCGGCATTCACTTGCACCAGGACCCTTCGTGTGCCCTCCGGGAGCACGTGGGGTCTTGAGTGCAAGAAGTGTGTCGGAAGTAGCTGCTACTGTTGCTGCACCACGAGGCAGTCTTTGGCCGTAAGTTGCTGTCAGCGTGTGGAGTCGTGAAAACTCGAAGATGAAGAGCGCAAAACATCAAGATTCCTGGGGGTGTCTGCATCAGTGTAGATGACCTCGATGGTCTATGTTCCTGGGAGTGCGGACTGTAGCTGTAGTGTGCCCGGTGCAGTACTCGTGTGTGAACTGAGCAGGCACATTCATCGAACTTGGAGAAGTTCCACGAGTTGAGGGCGAAGGCTCGACACAACCATGAGAGCATTCCCGTGTCTAGCTGCCGGAATGTCGAAGCATTTTTCGAGTAGCAGAAATTCTGGAGTGAAGGTTTAACCTCGGGAATCGCACATTATGTGAGGGCATGTCTGCGCTCGCAAGATTGAAACGTACAGTATATACGCCAGAACAAGCGGCATCCGCGAAACTCTACAGGTTTCGCATCTCAAGCACCTGCGAGCACCTGGCCAGGTGTGCCTACTTCTGTTGCCTTGCGGCAGACTTGGAGAAGGACCGACCTGGGTCATGTCGGCCTCAGACTTAAGAGCCCAGTTTAGGCCACAGGTCACAACCCCTGAACTTCAGACCCAAGCGTCTATAGCCAGTTATGACCGACAGCCTCCTGCAGGCCCTGAACCGTGAGGCACTGGATGCAGTTTTAGGGTTTAGGGTTTAAAGCTCCAGGCCTGCATGTTTGCAGCTCCGCATGAACTCAAGCTTGCCGCTGGAAGCTTTTGGCCCCGTTGCAACATCACGTCGATATGTTGAAGGGTCGGCCATTCAAGTTTTGCTGCTGATGCCAATAAGTGCTCGTGTTTCGTGAATTAAGGATTCCAAACTTCGGGTTCAGCATTATATTTGGGAGTGTTTGCGCCGGCATTGAATAGCGTGCCTTGCAAGTACCTTGAGCCGCAATGCCTCCAAACCTTTACCGTCCAATGCCCGAACTCAAGCATCGCCCTTTGAAAGTTTGAACTGAATCCAACACCACCCGGCCGCCGTCCTGCCCCTTGCAGGCACACGCTGCAGCCTCGGAACCCGACTCTTCCAGTGCTTTCTCCCAGGCCCCGCTGGTCCGAGAGTTGCTGTGTCGTGTAAACGGTACAGTTGTTTTTCCTAGTTTTCTTTCAGGCGAGTGGGGGGATCTTGAGGGTTGTAAACATACAGTAATGAGAAGACTGGTTTCATGCGAAGGGCTACTAGTACTTCAAGTAGTTGTATTAAGGTCACTCGCAGGCGCATTATACCGGGCACTGGGAGTTTCAAAGGTTTGCATGGGATATAGGATACGGTCGAAGGACGGTGGTTTCGTTCTAGTAAGTTGGATATGTCAGTGACGATTATGTACTGTGTATGTACATGGCTCACATGGCCTATACCTCTGTGACTCCACTGCGGAGTCCTGCGAGGTAAACTAGGTGGCACGTCTTGACACCTTTCTAAATTCCCTTGCGGTTTTATTGCAAGCGATACCTATCCCTGAAGGATTTTGGGCTCCCTTAGCTTACAACCCAGTGAATGCCTGAGGTCTTTCGAGTTGAGAAGCATGGGATCAAAGCCCAAAAAGTCTTACGTCAGGGGATGGTGGCCTTGAGCTGCCAGGTTGGAGTTGTTGGAGAAGTTATCGATGGTTTCAGGTTTCGCTTTTGAGGGCTGCAATGCTTGAACGCCCGTTGCATACAGCCTCTCACAAAACTTGCTCGATCACTGAGGCCTTGAAGTTCCTACTAAAAACGTCTTCCTTCGAGTTATCAACCCCTAAACCCTAAGCCCCAAAACCCTAAACTCAAAGCCCTACTGTACCCTATAATCCCTAAACCCTTGGTCAAGATGTAGGGGGTCTTGTAGCCTCAATGTTGGCTTTTGCTGCCTGGCGCCGGGCTGTCAGCCTGGTTGGAGCTCCAGGCTGTTTTGCTGATGGCACACGGCTTAATGTTTAGGGTTTAGGGTTTAGGGATTAGGGTAATCTAGGGGCCTAAGTAACTATTTTGGGGGTTCCTTATTACAAGTATAGTCGAGTATACCCCAAAACCCTATTCTAATTTCTTGAGGCCCCTACATTGCTTGGATAACCGTTGTCGTCATTATGCGCGGGTCCTGGCTCTTTGCGATTGTTGCTGCTCCGCGCCCTCCAAGATGAGGAAGCGGTCGGCATGCCAGTGGACTTTGGCTGCCGCACTCCTGGGTGAAGGCTGGCTTCACAACGGACCTGAGCCCAAGTTTTGCGGCAAAGCAGCAGAAAGGAGGTGTTTGCATACTTCTCTCCTACGAGCAGCATCTCCTGGCTGCCCAAGTCTCACAAGCCGAGTTCGAGTTGGAAATCATAAGCGAAGAGGACGATTGAAGGATCGCAGTCTAGATGATGAAGCCAGACGGTTGACGGCGTACATATCGAAGGCGCGTTCGGCATCGGAGTTGCTGAGTCGATCGGCTACACCCTTGGAGACTGCGACGCTCTTCAACCATGTCCACATGTCTGCGGCGCTGACGAGGCTTTCGAGGTTCAAGAAGAGGCGTCAGTTTCACCAGTCCGATGCGAGCAGCCCTGTATGGGCCAAGCTCGCAGATCGGCTGGATGAGATGCTCCGGGAAGATTCGTTACCACCACGTCAAGTAGCTAACGTTTTCTACTCCATCCATGAGCTCTACGAAGAGATGGGCAGGCAGCGAACACCGCTCCTGCCGAAGCTTTGCGACGCCGTTCGGGCGAAGGCTGCCGGCATGAAAGCTCAAGAACTCTCCAATTGCATGCTAGCGGCCGCGAAGCTCCAAGATATCTCACCTCAGGTGCTGGTAGTGGTGCCAGCCCTTGCCAGACGAATACCCGATAAGGTTGCTGACATGATACCGCAGCACTTGTCCAATTGCTTGTGGGCAGCTGCAACGCTCCATGGTGCATCTCCAGAAGTGCTGGAGGCCGTACCAGCCTTGGTCAAATCTATACCAGACAACGTGGAGGAGATGATCGCTCAACACCTCTCCAACTGCCTGTGGGGAGCTGCGACGCTCCAGGATGCATTGCCAGAGGTGGTCACCGCCGTGCCAGCCCTTGTGAAACAGACACCAAGGAAGGCTGAAGACATGAAGCCTCAAGAGCTACTTAGTGGCTGAGTAGGTAACCTTGAACCTTTTTGGGCTTGTATAATTGTACTATACCTCAAAAGGTTAACCTTTTTTGGGCTAGGGTACTCAGCACCTAAGGCTATCCAACAGTCTGTGGGCAGCCTCAAAGCTTCAAGATGCAACGCCAGAAGTCTTGTTTGCGGTGCCGGCTCTGGCAGAGATCATACCCGACAAGGTGAACGGCATGAAGCCCCAGGAGTTGTCCAACAGTATGCTGGCCGTGGCGAAGCTCCAGTATGCATCGGCGAAGATGCTGGTTGCTGTGCCAGCTCTTGTAAAGCGCATACCAAGCCAAGTGCAATGCATGAATGCGCAGGAGCTGTCCAACTGCCTCTGGGCAGCTGCGAGGCTCCAGGACGCATCGCCGGAAGTGTTGCTTGCCATGCCAGCCCTGGCACAGCACCTGCTGGACAAGACCGAGGACATGATGCATCGCCAGCTCTATCGGCTGCTGCGCCAGCCTTTGCAACATGCATAGCGCGCGAAAGCTGCATCCATAATGACTTTTCGAAACTTACCGGTCTGCCTGCTGGCAACTGCGAAGCTTCAAGATCCAGCACAAACTGGTGCTTCAGCGTCGTGAAGCTCCGAGATCAGTGGATATGGTTCTCGAACTTGGCTGCCGTGGTTTGGGTGCGCCCAAGAGATCAGTTGCACGCCGAACTTGCCTGATCTGGGGAGTTGGGAAGCTCGAGAATTCTGCAGAAGGTCCGGTGATCCCAGAAGCTTGGTCAGTTTAACTTGGTGCCCGGCTGCAGGCAGAACTGAACTCGACCATGAGCAGCCAGAATCACTCCTTGAAGGCATGTTTCGCTCGTCAGATCGAGGACGACGACTTTGTTTGATCCCGACGGGTAGTGCACATGCGTCTGACATTGCGCTTGCAAGGCATCCATACTTGTAAGTTTGTCTCCGCCGAAGAGTGACTTGGTATCGGACAGCCGCAACAACATGGTCTGTGGATTTTAGCTATCCTCTGAATTTAAGTATCTTGTTAAAACCCTTCAGTTCTTAGCTTCGGCCCCCAACCCTCCCAGTATAAGCTGGCAAGTCCCAATTGCTGGCCCTTGAAAGGTGCGAAGCCTGGCCCCGGATCTTGACGACATCTGAGATCTGCCTGTTTTCGGCAGACGCCCCGGCAATCGAGATGAACTGGTGAGTCGCATGCATCCTGGCCTCGGGCTCAGAAGCTTGCAAGATGCTTCTGGGAGTTTTGGATAAGTGGATATGGGTTTGGCTGGCGTAGTTTGATTCGTGGTTAAAGTTTAACGCCTTCAAGTTCGAGTTTGGACCAGATGTTTCCAGTTCCTACGAGTTCCGACGACTTCTACCATGTCAGCTGTGGTCCTCGCGAACCGTTTGTTGGGTCTTTTGGGATGGAGGCCTATCATTTCAGATGCGCCTCCCTCGCACTTTTTGGCATCTTCGAGCAGTAAAGAGGCTTATTCTATACCTGTAGACCAAGATCCACAAAACCCCATAAAACCACGTTGAGCTTAATATCTTTTACACATCAGACCAGGGAGACGGAGTCAAGAAACCCCCCAAGCTCAGGACGTGAACGAGTGGATTTTGTTCCGAAGTTGCGCAGAAACCCCCTAAACCCCAACACCCTAAACTTGTGTAGTATCGTGTTTGTCTTGCGAGGGCCGGCCGCATTCACAGATGTTTGGTCTGCACGCTTGCTGTGATTGTTAGGAGCCAGGCCCGCATTGCAAGGAAACGGCTACCCAGAGATCCCAATATCTCTTATAGGAAACATACCTTAGATTATCGGAGCCTTAGTATGATGGTTTAAGGTATATTCCTTAGTTGACGGGGTCTTGGGATTGATGGGCAATCACTTTCATCCTAAGGTTTGCACAAGGGATTCAGGACTTGGAGATTTCCTGCGAGCGTCATGTCTTGGCACACGCATTGCCTGCGGGGGATCCGCAAGCTTGGTAGGAGGGTTTAGGGTTCAGGATTAGCGTGTGAAGTTTAGGTTTAGGGTTTAGGGTTTGGAGTCTAGGATTTAGGGTTCAGGGCTTGGTTTGTGTTTGGCTGGAAGCATCGGATTGGCTAGCTCGATCCATAATCCTACAACTTTCCTCCCACAGTTTCAACCGACGGATGCTAAAGAGTCAACGTCGTCGACATTCCGTTTGATGCCTCAACTGTCTTAACACTTCGTTTAATTTTAACATGTTTAAACCCTCGAGCGTGCGAAGACAAAAGGTTTCACCAACGACTCAGACCGAAACCCTGAACCCGCAACTCCTGATGCTCGGAAAGCCCAACGAGCAACCAGGTGAGTTCCTCACACGGACGGCCCCTTTGCTTGGAGAGTTGTCGTCAAGGCCTCGGGCATTTGTGCGGATGACCGATGCTTGTAGTGCTCTTATATTAAGATTACGGAAGCTCTCGGGCTGGTACCGTGGGATCCGCTTGAGAGCTTCAGACGAATTGAAAGGCTCAGGGTAGAGGGTTTGATATGATTTAGATCTCGGACGTTGAGTTCGAGGCCAGGGGCTTCGCACCTTCTGCTAGGGTTGTGAAGTATCACTGTTGGAATACTTTTCTGTTGCTGCATCAGCTTGCTATGTCCATTGTAAACCCCTTCATTGTATTGCGAGTAGAGTTTTTTTACGACCCGATGGCGGCTTGCTGGCGTGTTCAAGGGGCTTGAGCTAGTATGAACCCCTAAACTGCAAACCTGTATAGGGCCAACAAATTTGCAGTCCCTGTACACGCAGTCTGAAGCCTGCAAACCCGAAAAACCAGCGGAGGGATTCGGACAGAAGCTTCCACGCACGCGAGAGCCGAGGATGCGAACGAGTGCCTCGGGTTTTGTATTCCATACAGGGGAGCGAACCATCTGGAGTTCGCACATTTCACGAACTGCGCTGCAAGGAGTCGCCTTTCAATCGAGGTTGTAGTAAGAAGCTTTGGGGATGGACGCGTCTGGAGGGAGACCCGAGAGCCAGGCCCAAAGTGCTCAGGAGTGCGTGTTTTGGGTGCTATCATTGTAGTTGCATGTCGCAGAAGGGAGTCATGGAACTTTCAAGGCTTAGTGCTTAAAGTGGTATCTGACCAACATGTCACTTCCCTGACATCTGCCGTTAAGCAAATGCGCAGCTCTAGGAAAGCTCCGTCGTGTTTTCAACTTTGGAGACAAGCTCTGAAGCTCAGTCAAAAGGCCTCTGAATTAGCAGCCAGGTCCGGTCCACGCTACTGCACTGATGACGCTCTCGTGGAGAGGCTGGTCTGTCAACTTCAGCTCGAACTGTTTGAGGTTGCAGTGGGCGCCTAAATGGTCCTATACAGGTACGTGTTGTTGGGTTGAAGTTTGTCAGCCTCAGCATGGGCATCTTGTGGTTCCAGGATTAGACGGAGGCTCGTGGCTTTCGGTTGGCTCGGAGGTCGCTTGGTTTGACGGAGGCTTTGTCCATTTCTCCAGTGCGTGCTTCAGCGTCTTCGGCACGTTGCAGTTCAGGTGAGCCTCAATTGTGACATGACCTACATACTGCTTTCACCCTGCTGACGTTTTGAGGCCGAGACGACTGGTGCCTGAAGAGGCACGAGGCATCAGAGACGCTTACGGAGACGATGAGCATCTGAGTGTTATCTGCGACGGTAAGATGAGTGTAGGATAGTGTAGGATACCCATGGGCCCCATAGTAGGTCCTGTTTGGGGTTCATATTTAGAATCCTATAAGGTAATCCCTAACAGGAACAACTTTGGGGCCTATTGGTAGTATGGGTCTATGGTACTGTACACGGACAAAAATCGGAGACGTATACATCGTATACTATTCTGGCAGCTGCGAGGTTCCGAGTCAGTTCGAAGGCTCCAGCTTCCCAAATTCACCGCGATGGATCGCAACATCTCGGGTGCACGACTCACAGTTTCCTCCATACCAGGGGGGCACCGACGGGTTTGCCAAGTCGTTGTGGCAGTTATGCTTTCCGGATTGTGCTGGTGCACCTTCCCTGAACTGGGCTTCTGCACAAGGCAATGGAGCGCACCGGCGAAGGGGCCAGCCGGCTACCGCCACTTGATTAGCAGGATTCCGTGCAGAGTGCGGGAGCCGAGGCGCCAGGCTCCGGACCGCAAGAACCCGGAAAAGGAGGCACGAGAGTTGACGAGTCGGATCACTAGGTCCAGCTCAGCCGCAGAGCTTCTCGATCTACTTGGTAAGCAAGTGGATAGCAAGATTCTCAACGAGTATCATATCACTGCATTCATGACGACACTCGCCCGGTTGAAGAGGAGGCGTGAGCTTCGTCAGGCCGATGCCAGCAGCCCTGTGTGGGCCCAGTTTGCAACCCGGTTGCAAAACATGGTTCGACAAGACTCGCTTTCAGCACGCAGCACGGCCAACGTGTTCTATGCACTGGGCGAGCTTCACGAAGGAATCGAGGAGCACACGTCCCCAATTCTGCCGATGCTTTGCGGAGCTGTTCGTGGTAAGGCTGCTCACATGAACGAACAAGCAATCTCGAACTGTTTGCTGGCAGTTGCCAAGCTCCAAGATGCATCTCCAGATGTGTTGACTGTTGTGCATTCCCTGGTGAAGCACATACGAGCCAAGGTCGCATCCATGAATTCCCAGGACTTGGCTAACGACTTGTGGGCAGCGGCGAAGCTCCAAGAGTCGTCGAACGAAGTTTTGGATGTAGTGCCAGCCCTTGCAAAGTGCATACCGAACAGGGCAGGGGACATGAGACCTCAAGAACTGTCCAACTGCATTTGGGCAGCTGCCAAGCTCCAAGATGCATCACCAGAAGTGTTGGATGCCGTGCCAGCCCTTGCAAAGTGCATACCGAACAAGGCAGGCGACATGAACCCTCAAGAATTGTGCAACTCTTTGTGGGCAGCTGCGAAGATCCAGGATGCATCGCCAGAGGTGTTGGATGCTGTGCCAGCTCTGGCAAAGCGCATACCGGACGCGACTGGGGTCATGCTGCCTCAGGCATTGTCCAACTGCCTGTGGGCCGCTGCGAAGCTTCAAGATGCGGCGCCAGCAGTGCTGACAGCCGTGCCCGCCATTGCAGAGTGCATACCACATAAGGTGCACAATTTGCTTCACCAGCAATTGTCCATCTGCCTCTGGGCAGCCGCATCTCTCCAAGATTCAATGCCAGAGGTGTTGGATGCTGTGCCAGCTCTTGCGAAGCACGTGCCGGTTAAAGCTGAGCAGATGGATCCTCAAGGATTGTCCAACTGTCTCTGGGCAGCTGCCAAGCTCCAAGATGCATCGCCAGAAGTGCTAGTTTCCGTGCCAGCCCTTGCCAGGCACATCCCGCGCAAAGTTGATGACATGGTGTCTCAAGCATTGTCCAACAGCTTCTGGGCAGCTGCCAAGCTCAAACACAGGTCGCCCGCGGTGCTAGTTCTGGCTCCAGAGCTCATTGCTCGCATCGGTCCCGCCATCAGCAGCTTCGCACCAGAAGGACTGAGCATGTCGATCTGGTCTGCTCAACAATTCGAGGAGCGCGAGCTGGCGGCTAGGCTGCAAGCAGAACTGGACCGCCGCCAGGCTTGAGATTCCTGTCGCAAGCACCGGCTTTGAGAATATTCGTTTACCGTTTTTGAAATGACACGGCCCTGAAAAGTTGCCGAGTCTATCTGCACAATCACATAATCACATGTGCAATCTTCCACACATTCGTCATTGTTTTGCCGAACAGCAGATTTTGATCGGACGGAGCTTTCAACTGCCGCGCTGCCTTGAAGGCTGCAGCGGATGGATTCCCTCCTGAATGCACTTGCACCCCGGCTCTGCCTGTGCCCTTAGGGAGCACGTCGGTGGTCTTGAGTGCAAGGGTCTGAAGGAGTTATGGCCGCTGCTACTGCTGCAGCTGAGTATGGCGCTTCGATTGCATTTGTATATACGGAGTACAGAGACCCAAAGCCAAAAACAATCTTATGCAGTGCTCAACTGGCCAGTCAGCTGTTTGATCGAGATAAGCATCATCAAAGGAATTTCCCTAGCTCGATGCTTGTGGGACACACGACCAGCAACCTGCCTCACCTTCTCAGAAGCACCGGGCAGGCAGACAGTGGTGTGGAAGCGACTTCAAGTCCGGACTCTAAGACGGCCAGTCAGCCGGCAGGCCCGGCGCTGCAGCAACACTCTGGTCAGTTGCAACAATTACCATTTTTGTGAAAGCAACAGCCCATCTACCGTACTTGAGGAACCTGATTAAGAAACCTTGGCTCCTTATGAGGGTTCCTTATATGCATCCCAATCTTTAGGGGTTATGGGACCAGGGTTTCTCAATCAGGTTCCTACGTTACTATGCGGGCAGAGAAGGACCTGCCCCCATGTCCTCAAGTTCTTTTCCGAGTCCGCTGACATTTGTGTGTTGTTCATCGCGTTCGCCTTGCTTGCAGGACTTTGTACGGCTTCATGCTGCTGTGTAGAAATCTTTAATGCAGTCATGAGTTTGGTGGTTTAGTTTCCGGGCCACGCCAGGCCAAGCGTGTGGCATTGCGGGTGGCGGTTCGGGATTTTAGGGCTTGGAATCGTTTTGCAAACAGGGCTTCCGGGTTCCCTTTGAAGGTTTTTAGGCGGATTAGGTGCAAGGAGTAGGTTCCGTTCCTTGTCGGTGGACCCTTTGATCCTTGGGCGCAAAGGCATATCGGAGCATTATTTCATCCTTTAAGCCAAGCCCGAACTGTTGGGTCGAGTCACGCACCCCATGAGTCTAAAGTACCTTTTAAGTGAGATGCTGCTGCTGTTGATCCGCGCCAGTTCATCTGTACACCAAGAACAATAGATGTCCTGCTTGAGTTCGAAACCCTGAACCACCCTGGGCGTGGGAGGTGTCAGGCATATCCCCCGACCTCCATGGAATTGGGTTCTTCTGCTGCTGGAGGTCCCACCGTTGTCCTTTTGTCTCATTGCTGCATCATCGTTGGAGCTCTTGTCTGCCCTGTCCTCAAGTTGAGATGTGCCTCGGTCTGGTCCTCCGGCCTCCATCAGCGGAAGAAGGGTCTTCGTTTCGTCAAAGCCGGGTGGGATGCATGGTCTCCACAATATTTTTTATCTTCATCAGCGAATCTGAGTGCATGCTGTTCTGAAACTCGATCGCTCTGCCCTCTCAGACTCATCGACCGCCCGTTGCTCAAGACCTTTCGGATGTCTGCAGGTGCAGGCCGTGGCCTTACATCTCGTCGGCGTGAGCCTTTTGTCCCCGAGGCCGGTGCTCATGGAATCTTGTGTCGCAAACTCCTTCGTCATGCTGAGAATAGCTGTTGTGATTGTCGTTCGGCTTTTAGGTTCGGGTCCACAGCTGCAGAGGCAAAGACCGTCGAGGTTTCATCTTGCCTTTCAGCTGTTTCTAGGCCTACGGTTTAGGGTTCAGGGACCTGATCTCACAACTCTCATCTATGCGTAACCCTAAACCCTAAACCCTAAGCCCTAAACCGTTCCAGCACTGCGCTTCGTCTCTCAGTCTGCTTCAGGAGTCTACAAGTGTTTACGGGATTTCCCGGGATACTGCGTTGCTTTGAAGCGGCAGCACAAAACGGTAGCAAGATCTCGTGGGGTCATGATTCCGGTCATGATCTTTGGGTTTAGGGTCTTGGGGTTCTCAGAGCCCACTTCATGAGCGCATAAGTGTCTACGGCATAAGCAGGATCTTGCGAAACCTGCGTGTTTTTTCTGAAAGCAACAATCTCATGGGTCATGATCTTGGGACGTGTGCTTTCTCGGGCAGAAGGCAAATGCCCAGTGGATGACCTTTACCCCTAAACCCTAAACTCTAAACCCTAAACCTTACCTAAACCCTAAACCCTATACTGTACCGTAAACCCTAAGCCCTAAACCCTAAACCCTAACATGAGCTTCAGAAGTTCGGGCTTGGTGCTTGGAGATGAAAGCTTGCAGTACTCAGGAGGGTCGGGTTCAAGTTTTGGGGGGTGGTCTCGTGTAGACGCGGGTGGACTTCGGAATCTTTGGGTGCGGGCACATCGTAACTATCAGTTGAGCTTGATTCTTCAACTAAGCCCTAAACCCTAGCCTAAACCCTAAACCCACCCCAGGCACCACCGCTCTCGAGCTCTGAGTCCGAAAGTGTAAGTGCCAACTTTCAAAACGTCGTGAAGATTCATCTGTGCAAACCCTTCAGAGCCTTCACGGTTGCAAGTTCAGCTGGTAGACAGCCACAAGGGTAGTTCTCTGAATTAGGGTTCCTTTTAGGGTCCTTTTTATAAGGGTGCCGTACCATATTGGGGATTCAAAGCGGGACCCTACTTTAGAGAACTACCCACAAACTTACATGTCAACAACCGTCTGAGCCAACAGAGCAGCCAATCCCAAACCTCACGAATCAAGTCGGAAACGCCTTCGGTATGTGCCGCTGCCATGGCTACCGGAGCAGCACGAAGAAACCGGACTGCTCCCTTCTTGCATTTTTCCAGAGTTTAGAAAGGCTTGCACGTTACGGCCTGTATGTCTTTACCCATAGGCTGCGTAGTAGTTCTTTTTGGGGTTTCATATTTAGAATCCTATAAGGTAATCCCAAAAAAGAACTACTATGGGGCCCATGGGTAAACGGTAGATGTTGCAGGACTTTGGGCTTCGGTGGCAGTTGGATTGGGGCGCCGGGTTCCGGATTTCTCTGACTTCGATTTTCGGGCTTGCGGTTCGATGTCACCCTTTGGGGACAGGGCCCGGAGGTTCAACAGTAGACGTTTTAAGGCTTGTTCATAAAAATAATGCCGAGGACCTTGCACACCTAGAGGAACGACCAAAATGAAGAATTCCTCAACGCCGATCCTGCACTCCCCTGCCTCAACCCCAACTCTAAGCCTCCATTCCAAATCCCCTTTCTAAACGCACTCTAAGCCACAAAGCCCTCAAAACCCTTAATTAAACCAATATCATGCGGAATTTCCGGCGCATGCAGGAAGAAGCCCCAAGCCGAAGGGGACGCCTCGGCAGGAGCCGCAGGGACGTGGAAGCTCCTAGGCACCGTGTCCGAATGACGCAGAGCTTCTGAAGGATTACTGTGTAGGGTTTAGGGTTTAGAGTTTAGGGTTTAGGGTTTTAAGGTTAAGGGTTTAGGGTCTAGGGTCAAGTCTAGACAAATGCTATACTGGAGCTTAAGCCCATCGAAAACCGCAACACGGCAGGCACGGCGGCGCGCGCCGGCTTTGGGCAGGGCCCTGGGGTATTCTTCCCTGCAAAGGAGCTCGGTCTCTGGTCTCTGTGACCGTTCAGGGCTTCCGAGGATTGGAGTTCGAGGGTTTTGGCTGTGTGAGAGTCGAGAAGCCCACGCTGCCACTGCGGAGAAGAGGAAATTAAAGACATATTTATGACATGATGGCTTCTGGGCAGCGATGTCGATCCAATATAGCACAAGCCTCAACAGGAGCTGAAGAAGCTTGGCCGCTTCAGCTGCAGAAAGCAAGCCTGCACGGAACGGTTTACGTTGGAAAAATCTGTAGGGTTCAGGGTTGCTCTAAGAGTATATTGTTGATGTTTTACATGAGGATCTGGGCATTCAGAGCTCTTCCGCGTTCCGCGGTTCAATGCCCTTGCAGCTTGAAAACTGATGGTTAAGTGCACCCGTGTTCCCAACCCTAAACCCCAAACCCTAAACCCTACACTGTAACTGTTTAGGCAAGATCCTAAACCTCAGCACTCCGAGCCCTTAGTAACCCGCTTCCAAAACCCGACAAAGCTCTGCGTACCCCTAAACCCTAAACTCCTAAGCCTAAACCCTAAACCCCTAAACCCCTAAACCCCTAAACCCTAAACCCCTAAACCCCTAAACCCCTAAACCCCTGAACCCAAAACCCCTAAACCCGGAACCCTTATAAACCCTAAACCCCTAAACCCTATACGTCCAGGTTTAGAGACCCCAGACCTGAAGTTGCAAGCTTTACCTATAGGCCCTCCATCTACGCTCTACTCTAGACCCTGAAAAATTTGGGGTTCAGGGTTTAGGGTTTTAGAGTTTTAGGGTTTAGGGTAGTACCTACAATCTGGGGCCACCTACCCTTATTTAAGGGGTCCAAAGAGGGTCTTGGTAACCTGTAAGTGGCCCTAAACCACAAACCCTAAACCCTGACTCTAATAAACCCTGGGCCCTAAACCCTTGACTCCTGGACCCTAAACCCCAAAGCCTAAACACAAGACCCACAGTAAAAGTGCGTCAACAAACCCCTCGAAGGCCTCGGTGCCGGGGACGTGGTCCTCCTGCGGTCGCCCCGCGGCCGCCGAACTGTGGCGGCCTGCGAGGCTCCTCATTGCATCAGGGTTTAGGGTTGAGGGTTTAGGGTCCAAAGGACCCAATATTTGGCACTTCAGTTTCGGATAGTAGTTAGTTAAGGAGGATTTAGGAAGTCTGTTCCGAGAGAGCTCCATCCCGTTTAAGGTATATTCCCTATATCTGTGGGAGTATTGGGCTCTCCGGGTTCTCGGTTTATAAAAGCGATGCAGTGTTGCAAGTATATAGGCGTACCAACAGCTGCGATATGCATGCTCGATGCTTACGGCTTTTCAGCGGTTTGACCTTGATTGCTTCTACACATGCGCTGAGGATCGAATCATGGATTGAGCTCCATTTCTGTGGATGTATGACCTGTAGGCTTGAGGTTCTGGGTCAATTGTGGTCTCGGGGTGGGGCTGTCCACGAGTGAGTTTTTCCTGCGGCTTTGATGTCCTTTCATTCAAACAGCTTCAAGATCGCTTCGATTCAGGACCATGAGCCCAAACAAGTTCCATGCTCCAATTCCATGTAGCTCCAAGGACCCGCGCCCTACTTGTAGGAAACCCTAAACCCTAAACCCTACTATGAGCTTCTTGTAGGAAACTTGAGCTTTGAAATCTGCCAGGCGGGCGGCAGAGAGGCAGCCCGGCTTGAGACTTCTGGAATTGTATATTACAGGGGCCTAAATAATTACCCATCGTATTCTTAGGGTTCCTTATAAGAATTACAATTATTATAGTTTAACTTACCCCAAGACCCTATTCTAATTATTAATGACCCTACATTATTATAGCCTGTAGAAGTTTTCAGCCCGAGAGATCTCTATGCCCCACGATTTCGGCAGTTCCCTCAACCCCTAGATTCCCTTATATATGGGTGGTTGTCAAAATTATGGTCCCCTTTTGGGTCCTTATTATAAATACGGCACCTGTTATTTAGGGTACCCCAAAACGGACCATAATTTTGACAACTGCCCATATGTCATCACGAGCCCTCGGCCCTCAACTTTAAGTCTATGATCTCCAAGCCCTTGAAATGTTGCGGTTTTCGGAAGCTTCGTTGAGGCTATCACACCTTTGAAACGTTTAGGGTGGTGGCAGCAAGTAGTGAAGGCTCTCATTTACGGGGCGTTCTCTGCTTCTTGGGATGGAAGAGTTTTTCATGTAGGGGCCTTATTAATTAGAGTAGCGTTTTGGGGGCTCTTTATTGGAATTATAGTATAATATACCCCAAACCCTATTCTAATTATTAAGGCCCGTACACCCTAAACCCTTATAGTAGCCCTTGTAGAACCCTTTAAGGAACCCCGAACATCCCCAAGCCCTATTCTAACTATTAAGGCCCCTATATTAACGGTTGTCAGGTCAAGCATGCTTTGGGCTTTAGTCGACCCTACAGCGAATCCCAGAAAGTTGGAACTTAGGCTTAGGAGGAGTAGTGCTAGGATCCCGTATACTTTACCTTAAGGGTTTATGAGGGACATTCATGTTCCAACTTTCTGGCTTCTATCCTGTAAACCCTAAACCCATAGCCTTTGTCGGATTCTGAAGGTTGTCCACGGAGGTTTCAGGCCGGGTCGTCCCAGTATTTTCGAAGTGCAAGTCTGGTGTTTATTTGCGAGGGCTAAAATTTTAGAAGGTCGAGTTCGCTTAGGTTTCAGATTTCGGGGCTTTTCCCTAACCAAAACAGTAGACTCAAAATCAATGCAAAGAGCTTGAAGTCTGGTGCTCAGGAAAGTAGGCAATGACCCCCTCCTCAACCGTGGATCCTACGCGTCCTCAACCGGTGCCGGGCTTTTCACGCGGGCTTTTCACATCTTGTTGGACACCCCAAACCCTTCACCTCCAAGCTACAGACACCAATCCTCCATCCGACCCTGAGCCTTGACCTCCGAAATAGTGCTACTATAGCACCGATTTATAGCATAGTATGCCCCAAAAACCCTATTCCAATTATTAAGGCCCGTACAGTAACAGCAATA